CCCCAAAACCCCAAAACCCCAAAACCCCAAAACCCCAAAACCCCAAAACCCCTATATGCTGAGGAAATATGGAACAACTTAATAAAAATAAAATGAATTTAATAGATAATCGAACTTCTGACCCTTTGAAAGCAGTTATGCAAATTTCTCAATCTAGCTCTGTATTGCCAGATATTAGTAAAATGATGAACCAGACTATGAAGAGATCAAAAGAAGGGGGTCACCGAAGAGTTTTCAAAGGACTAAATATGCGCATAGAGAGAGGAAGAAGAAATTCAAGTCAAAGGAGGATATCTAATTTAGTCAATAAGACGCCCACAAAAAGAAAGAGTCTTCAAAAAATACCTCAACCACTGACAAAATATCAGAAAAGGTGTGTCAAAATGCACATAAATTTGATATCCAGAAGCAGACAGAAAGTAATAGATGCTAAAGAAAGAAGATTTAAAGGGTTTTTCTCCCCAAGGCTTCTAAGCAAGAAAGCAAGCTCCTTCGCTTTCTCAAGGACCAATGTTCCTATGAAAACATCTGACCACCCATGAGGAGAGATAAAAAGCTTTTTAAGGACTTAAATTTAGAGTAATGATAGAATAGTGCTATTACTAAGATGCTAAGTCCTTATCAGCTTCTTGGGTGAGAAGGATGTCAGAGTTACTAAATAATTTTATCATAATAATATTCCATGAAAACTTGTGTAATCTTTGTGGTTTTCTCATTTCCTGCTTCCTTATGCACCAATTGGGAGGACATGGTTAGCACATCTCAGCAAATATAAGGATATGTACTATTAAATTTTAATACGACTTATGAAAATCAGTAATAAAGAGTTATAGAGACTTGCTAAAAATATCGCAACAACTTCTTTGTAATAAAATTAATACACCTGAGACTTATCTGTATAACTGATAGAGACTCTGCCTTCTTCAGATAAAGTTAGTACAAAAAATTGTGTGAGAACGATACTATACACCAGACAGTGCTAAAAATGTTTTATATAGTCCTCTGAAATTGATGGTTACTGGTTAGTACTATAAGACTAATTTGCTTCACAAAGACGATAAGATAACTTCCCTAAAACAGCGTTCTCTGTTTTAGATCATTTGTTAGACCGTTGTGGAATAAATAGACTGTTTCAGAAATAAATCTAAATATTTGGAAGATTAAATAAAAGCGTGGATAAAATAACATCACGAATTATTTAGTTGAAGCTTCTTGAAATAGTCCAAGATTAAGAGAATCACCACAATCAGTGCCGAGATGTTTAGAGAGGACTTGGGGGATTATCTCTTTAGTAAATAAGTGCAAATAATGAATATAAGTCCCTGAGTTATAAAGGAGTTGAGGGAATTCGAAAAATTCTTTTCTCCATCTTCAACATGTCGTTTATAAAATGGGGTTTTGGGGTTTTGGGGTTTTGGGGTTTTGGGG